TATACAATATATGTCACATTGTCGGTGTCAGTGTTATACAATATATCTCACATTGTCGGTTTCAGTGTTATACAATATATGTCACATTGTCGGTGTCAGTGTTATACAATATATCTCACATTGTCGGTTTCAGTGTTATACAATATATGTCACATTGTCGGTGTCAGTGTTATACAATATATCTCACATTGTCGGTTTCAGTGTTATACAATATATGTCACATTGTCGGTGTCAGTGTTATACAATATATCTCACATTGTCGGTTTCAGTGTTATACAATATATGTCACATTGTCGGTGTCAGTGTTATACAATATATCTCACATTGTCGGTTTCAGTGTTATACAATATATGTCACATTGTCGGTGTCAGTGTTATACAATATATCTCACATTGTCGGTTTCAGTGTTATACAATATATGTCACATTGTCGGTGTCAGTGTTATACAATATATCTCACATTGTCGGTTTCAGTGTTATACAATATATGTCACATTGTCGGTGTCAGTGTTATACAATATATCTCACATTGTCGGTTTCAGTGTTATACAATATATGTCACATTGTCGGTGTCAGTGTTATACAATATATCTCACATTGTCGGTTTCAGTGTTATACAATATATGTCACATTGTCGGTGTCAGTGTTATACAATATATCTCACATTGTCGGTTTCAGTGTTATACAATATATGTCACATTGTCGGTGTCAGTGTTATACAATATATCTCACATTGTCGGTTTCAGTGTTATACAATATATGTCACATTGTCGGTGTCAGTGTTATACAATATATCTCACATTGTCGGTTTCAGTGTTATACAATATATGTCACATTGTCGGTGTCAGTGTTATACAATATATCTCACATTGTCGGTTTCAGTGTTATACAATATATGTCACATTGTCGGTGTCAGTGTTATACAATATATCTCACATTGTCGGTTTCAGTGTTATACAATATATGTCACATTGTCGGTGTCAGTGTTATACAATATATCTCACATTGTCGGTTTCAGTGTTATACAATATATGTCACATTGTCGGTGTCAGTGTTATACAATATATCTCACATTGTCGGTTTCAGTGTTATACAATATATGTCACATTGTCGGTGTCAGTGTTATACAATATATCTCACATTGTCGGTTTCAGTGTTATACAATATATGTCACATTGTCGGTGTCAGTGTTATACAATATATCTCACATTGTTGGTGTCAGTGTTATACAATATATTTCACATTGTTGGTGTCAGTGTTATAAAATATGAAGTCCAAGAACGTCACCAGCACTCCAATGTAAACATGAAGAAGGGATAGATTTATTGACAAATATTTGCCATAAATGCAATCACTTTCGGGGCCACACAGGGTCTTCAGGTGATTCTGATCCGTGCAGTCCGCTCGAGCCGCTATGACAGCTGTCATTTCTCCGTACTGCGCATGCACTGATCGGACAGAGTTTCACATTCCAGCAGCCGCAATCGCAACCAACTGAAGCGGCTAGTGTTCCACTAGGCAGAAGTGCCGGTGGTCGGGGCGGAGCTTAGCTATAGCATTATGTTGGCATGACAACAAACTGCTGTTTGGACAGCTTAACGGCCGTGACAGCGGTACGCGCTTTCTCCAGCTGCATACTCCCTCATTGTAAGTGTTTTTTGAATTATTATGGCGGGAAAGCAATCACAGGGATGGGAGGTTCTTCTGTTCTATGGCACTTGCTTTATGTCTATATAAGTGGTGATGTCTGTGGTATACTTTGTCATTCTGTGCTTGATGAAGGGGACCATGTGAGGCCACGAAAGTGCTTGCATTTATGACAAATATGTGTCAATAAATCTATCCCTTCTTCACGTTTACATTGGAGTGCTGGTGACGTTCTTGGACTTCATTTTATTGCACGGTGCCATCTGTGGTGATTGCGAGCACTCACCTGGATCAGACAGGTTTTCATTTCTATCTGGTAAGGAGTGCGTTAGAGTTATAAAATATATCTCACATTGTTGGTGTCAGTGTTATACAATATATCTCACTTTGTTGGTGTCAGTGTTATACAATACACTGAGTGGCCAGTTTATTATGACCACCTGACGTTTGTAGGCAAATTAGCTATAATTAGCTATAATTTCGCGCTGAAGTTGCTAGAGGGCCAGACCATTATAAATAGGGAAGCAGGTTGTTTACCACAACAGTAGTAGTGATTTTTCTTCTGAAGATACGGGTAAACAACGCGATTTAACAGCCTTTGAACGTGGGATGATTGTTGGCGCGAGCCATGGAACGAGTATCAGCAAAACAGCAGAATTTGTTAAATGTTCAAGAGGGGCTCATTGTTAAAGTGTTTAAAGACTGGACTGTCAGCTGAAAATCTGGGTCTGAACGTGCGAATCGTGGCCGTGACTAGTCAATGTTAGGGCAGAACGTAGAGTGGCAAGACTGGTACAAGACAACAGAAGGGCAACAGTGCAGTGTCAGATTCCTCGCATCACCTTTCAACATCTCGTGGAGTCACAAGGCGGCCCAACAAAGTCATCTCGTGGCCCAATGAAGTACTGATGAGGTGGTCATAATAATCTGGCCACTCAGTGTATATCTCACATTGTTGGTGTCAGTGTTATACAATATATCTCACATTGTTGGTATCAGTGGGATAAAATATATCTCACATTGTTGGTATTAGTGTGATGAAATATATCTCACATTGTTGGTGTCAGTGTTAAAAACTATATCTCACATTGTTGGTGTCAGTGTTATACAATATATCTCACATTGTTGGTATTAGTGTGATAAAATATATTTCACATTGTTGGTATTAGTGTGATAAAATATATTTCATATTGTTGGTGTCAGTGTAATAAAATATATCTCACATTGTTGCAGGGGCGTAACTAGAAATCACAAGGCCCCAAAGCAAAATGTTGTATGGGGCCCCGTGATTGCTAGTTATGCCACTTGCAGAGCCCACCTGATATACCAAACAGCCCACCTGAGAGTGACTCTCTATCTTACCTGTAAGCGCTGTCCGCCTCCGTGGTCGCCGGGCCCCGCCTCCTCTTCCGTCCCCGGGCCCCGCCTCCTCTTGCGTCCCTGGGCCCCGTCTGCACTTAGGTCGATGTAAGAGGAGGCGGGGTTGCTCTTAGGCGGGCCCCGCCTCCTCCTTCACTGCGAACGCCAGCCTCTTCTGCCGCAGCTGCTGGCTGTCACTGACACTGCTCCGCAGCGGCTGTGAGGGGAAACGCGGTTGTCAGTGATCTTCACAGCCGCTGCTGAGCTGTGTCAGTGAAAGTCAGCACCCTTACATGCCATAGCAACCCAGGCAGCCCACACAGCATCAGAGGGATGCCCTGGCCGGGCCCCCCTGTGCCGGGCCCCATAGCGGCCGCCTGGGTCGCTATGGCGATTGTTACACCACTGCATTGTTGGTGTCAGCGGGATAAAATATATCTCACTTTGTTGGTGTCAGTGGGAAATAAGCCCCATTTATGCGTCAGTAGAAGCAAAATTTGCCTGAATGTTTGGACCAGAAATAAGCCGTGATGTCCAGTACTTACTTGAGCTTCTTCTCCTGCTCTGCCTCTGCTGGGACTATGTGACTTGGGGACAGGAGATCACTTCACAATAATCAATACTGCAGAATGTTCCAGCACTCAGCACACCCCACTGACACTCTGCAATTCCTGGGGGACAATGTCCAAAATCCCAGATTCTGCAGGATCCAGGACACTTGGTACTATTACACCCTGTCCAAAAATACAAAGAAAGAAAAAGTTATGCAAGAAGATGGTGGGAGACTCATCACAGGCTCCTGATGCTGGTTGCACTCCAGGAAATCGGTCAGAAAAGGAAATGAATCACCCCACTCCTGGCTGCAGCAAATTTTTTGGTGACTGAATAACAGCAGCAGTAATTGTAATTATATAAATGGGCAACACAGTGGTGTAGTGGTTAACACTTCTGCCTTGCAGCACTGGGGATCTGGTTCAACTACTGGTCAGAATACTATCTGCAAGGAGTTTGCAAGTTCCCCCTGTGCTTGTACCTCTGGGTACTCTGGTTTCTTCATACACTCCAAAGACATGTGGGAAGGTAAATTGGCCCTGTATGTAGTGATATGAGATAGGGACTTTAGATTGTAAGGTTTCTTGAGGGTAGGGACTGATGTGAATGTGTACTATGTAAAGCGCTGCATAAAATTCTTGGTGCTATAAAATGCCAATAATAAATAAATAAATCCACTTTGTGTGCTCCAAATAACTTTTCATACCCAGATATTACCTTATAATGTAGCAGTGACATCATCACCTTGCTGTGCAGAGAGCTGAGCTGTACCCGAGACCTACATGCTACAGGCTGCTTGCAAAAAATAAAGGAGGGGGTGGATACAAGATCAGTCACCCTGCACAAGGAGAGAGAAGCAACAATTGGTCTTTGTTACAGGAAGCTCCTTCACAAGATATTTGCTTATGTTCAGTTTTAATTAGAGATGCACTGCTATATCGGCCGCCGAAACATATCCGCCGAAAATGGCACTTTTGGCTGACCCAGCTCTACTTCCCTACTTAGCTACATGGAGCCTTGTATTTTGCAATAGAGTCCTGATATCTTCATATTTGCAAAAATAAATCATACATATATATATATATACACACACACACACACATACATACGGGATTCAGTACTTTGACCGATTTAGAACAAGATTGCAGATTACGACCTATGACGTTACTGATCTACAAACTGTCAGTGACTCAAAAAGTATTGACACCAGACATCTTCCTATTGCATTTTCCCATTCCTCTTAGTACAGGTTTCCTTTAATCCTTAACAGAACATATAATAAGGTAAATATTTTTGCTTTCTGAAGAAAAAATCTATAAAATGCAACTGATGTTAAACTTTGCTCCTCTATAGACAACCGGAACCTTAAACTGCCGGAACCTTCGACGCTGAGTAATGTTTCCTAACGATCGCAATTCCGTGAGCTCGCTGGTGTTTCCGGAAGTGGCGCTGATGACAGTTTTGGGTGCCCTTGTTCGGTAACTGTGCTGGATAGGGCTCAGCTCGCCGGTCACCCAGAATGTTGCGGGCCGCCTGGTGAGTGAGGGAGGAGCGGGATACTAGTTGTGTACTGCTGTACACTGGTATGGGGGTCCTAGCAGGCCGGTGCTGGATAAACCTAGGAGGTCTGTGCAGCTGCCTGATGGAAGCACATGGGAAGTGCTCAGCGTCCTCTAGTCATGTCAGATGTGGCTATCCATGAATGGTCGGAACTGCTGTGGCTCCACATAGCTCTTCAGTGACAGTAAATGTTCCTCACCGGCAGTGATGGAATACACACAAGCCACCCTGTGCTGTTTTAGCCATAGGAGCTTTATGAATAATAAATAAGATGACACGAATGACAATATGTCAGAGTTTACTAGCATCCAGACCTGGCTCAGTTCACTATATTCCTCATACTACACATATATTTATTATGAGTACTTCTAACTTAAAGTGGACCTGTTCGTAAATAACTCTCTGACATGTCACCATATTGTATGGTGAAGATGTAGTTCCTCAGCTCTGGACAAGTGTGTTTTCCTGGCTGCAGTGTCTCAGTGTTTGCCTGAGAGGGGGGGATCTGGGAAAAATGAGGTCATCATTCTGGGGCAAGCATTCCCTCAGGGTCCACTCCATCAGTCACTGGCACTATACACTGGTATCTTGTGAGGGGGATTAAACTCTCCCTTTTCCTGAATGTCAAGTCTTGCACACTGTTAGGCGCATACCCCCACCTCTCTCTCGCTGCCTCCCTTTCCTTGTGGCCAGTGATGTGCGGGGGCTTGGTGTGAACCCAGTTCACATAAGCCTGTGCAAAACTGTAACTCATGCACAAGCCCAGTCAGTTGCTGGAGGCATATTCCCTGCTCCACAGCTACATGTCACAAAGGGGCGGGGAATCCTGTTGCTGCAGCTGATTAGGTCGGGAGGGGGTGTGTCAGTCACATTTTTTGTGTGGGCCTGGGCAAACTCCAGCCAACTGGGTTCACAAGCCCCTGCACATCATTGCTTCTAAAGACATTCCTGCCTGGCAATGTGCAGCTAGGGCATAGAGGGCTGCATTGTGGGAGAGTAGGGGACCCTGGATGTGTGTCTCATACTTGGAAGTACTAGGATATCAAATGCCAATTCCACCTTTTTATGCCATGTTCCATCCATATTTATTTAAAAATGTATATTTTTTCCTGTTAGAGCAAATTGCACCATGCTCTTGTAAGTGACAGATGTCCGACCATGGACGTTGCGTTCAGGGTCGAACATACCTCCCCCAAACTGCAGGTAACCGCTGGATATGCAAATACATTCTTAGAGCCATGCACCAGCTTATTTCATCCCGTCATTGAGTTGTACATGATGAGCGGCCCCACTGATCTGAACACCTAGGACTCCCGCCGCAGATGTACAGCGCTTTGTAGTATGGTCCTTCTCCCTCGCTGCAGACATCCGACTCCCAGAACATCCTGATATTAAAGGGGCTTCATTCTTAAAGTTCAACTACAGCCAGCATTTTCTTTTATTTTTGGAACGATTTAGGAAGAGTATGTATGTCTGTCAAGTTGGTGTTATGTGTTAGCCTGTTGGGGATATTCCACCTAATTTTCTGTACTTGTATCTGCATCAAAATCCCGACAGAGGCTCTCTCGCTTTCCCACTGTGGCCGAAATGTAAAAAACAAAAAGTTCTGGCTGAATTTGCACTATACTTTTCTTTAAATAAGAAAAGTATGGGGGCTGCCGTTGCTTTGTTAGTTCCTTGGTTGTCATGCTGGTGTTTTGGCTACAATGCAATCTGAGTGTCTGACCTGGAACTATGAAAGAAAAAAACAGACACTTTAGAGTATATGAATACAATATATCATATACTGACCATGAAAGTAATTTTTTGTTTTAAAAACCTTTTTTGAGCTTTTGTTGTGCGTGCAGGTGAACGCACAGCATCCCGTTATATAATCTTGCAGCTAGTGAGCTCATTGCACCATTCACAGATAGGGGACTATGTTCCCCGTCTGTTTACACTGTGCAGTTCTGGATGGCTACAGTTTAACAGCAAGGCTCTGGCCAGGAACTACTGTCAATCAAGGCTGGGTGGTGGCATGGTGGGCAAACAGGCTGAGGAAGATTCAGGCACGTGTCAAGCCCTTGAGTGCAAACTGACCATGCAAGCACAGATCTGCTTTTGTGATTTAGAACAAGGAAGAGGAGGGACTGGCATGATCAACCAGGTAGTTTTAGTGAATGGAGTGAATAAAATCATAGTATATTAATATTAGACCGGTATAAACAGACAAACATATATATTTAAAAAAAACAACTTTAGGATAACACACTTTAGATTAAAGGTAATCAGCGGTGAAATAGAAGTGTGCAAAGCCCCCAAAGAAGATGCATCTTGTTTACTGATAAATGTGTTATTTGTTTATTTTCAGCGTTGTGTGCAGAGGAGTGATAAATCCGCATTCTGTAAAAGGAAATAAATTACCACGACCGAGCCTGTATGCTGGCAGACACCCTTATTCCTCTCCAACTTTGACCATTCAGCGGACTCTACCCAGACCACCAGTTCGATGTTACTCTGCACTGTCTCGTCTCCCATTAAGGGGAAGCAAACTTCTCACACTAAATATTGCATATCAGACTCAACGTAACTTCTGGGTTGCTAGGCTGGCATCCAGGTTGTTAAAACTGCGCTATCTGGTATTGGGATCAGCTGTTGGTGGCGGATACACAGCTAAGAAGGTATGTGTTATATATTTCTTGTTTGTTCATTTATTACAGGTATTTATATAGTGCAGGGAATTTTTACACAGTGCTTTATATGCTGTACATACACATCCATCCTTACCCTCAAGGAGCTTACAATGTAGGGTCCCTGTCTCACATTCATTCATACATACAAGGGCTAATTTAGACAGCAGCCAGTTTACCTTCCAGCGTGTCTTTTGGAGTGTGGGAGGAAACCGGAGTGCTCAGAGGAAACCCACCAAGCACAGGGAGTTCATGCAGATAGTGTCCTGGTTGAGATTCAAACCGGGGACCCCGGTGCTGCAAAGTCTGAGTGCTTCAAATTTGTTAAAGATTTCAGTTGAGTGGGGAAGGGCCACTTCAGCTTTTTCTTTGTGGGGATGTCCCCTAACATTCTGTCTCTGTGGAAAGAAATTAGGGGATTAAAAAAAACATGGCCAGCAGTAAAAACCTGATGGAGGTTCAGATCCTTCCCTAAAAAAATGCTTCAAGATGGAGTTGGGCTTTAATGTGGGATTATTTTGTTCATATTTGAATTTACTGTATATAAGCAGTTATCAAAATGATGTGAAAACAGAGCTGCATTACTTTGTGTTGTTATATCTGTCTGGTGTTCATAAGCTAAGCCTTGACAATTGTAACGATTTCTTTTGATGCAGCATCAAGGATGCTTGAAGTGCAAGTCAACTTTTAGTAGTTAAAACGGCCCGGGATCACATTTAAAGAAGTTTTATTGTGTAGCTTTAGTAGGTCTGTGGCAATAGCACTGTCACAGTCTTGGTATGATCAGTACAGTGTTTTTTCCTGCTGTCTGTCTACTGATAAGAAGCAGTCTATACCCTTGAGGATGGGCGTATATGTAAAATCTACTAAAAACAGCCTTGCATTTAGCTCTTGTTGATGCATAATATAAGTAAATCATCATTGATGGTGAGGGTTGAACCTTTTATGGCTGCCCTGAAATGGAGTTGTTGATAGCACGCAGTGCTTTCTGACTCTAACCACCATCACACATTTTCACCATCTACAAGAATTGATCATCATTGAATCAAGGGAGGAAATGGGGCTTTTATATTCACGCTAATGGGTTCTCGGGTAGCCCTGTGCTGGGTGCTCTAATCCACCGTTAGCGCACTATGCTTTCGGAAGAAAACCAGCTTCTGCTGCTCTAATGTGATGTAGCTGATAGCTGAAAACATGCCATTAAATCTGTTAGTTTGACCAACTAAATCACCAAAACGCCACAAATTATGAATTTAGTAGTAATTCTAATAGTCTTGCCTTTCCTGAGTTCTTTATCCTTTTTATTTTATTTGCTTTTTTGTGTTTCAGACATATGACCAGTGGAAGGAAATGTTCCCTGACCTTAGTGAATACAAGTGGATTATTCCTGATTTTATATGGGACTTAGATGAACACATTGATTTTGGTAAGTATTCAGGTTTCTGGATTCCTTACCATTAGTTTGTACTAGAGGTGCACCGAAATGGAAATTTTAAAACCGTAATGAAACCGAAATTTAAAAAAAATGTCAGGCCGAAACCGATACCGAAAATGTTTTTTATTTTAATTTTTTCCATTTTTTTTAAATATTTTATTTTTTATAAACTTTTTCCATTTTTGATATTCATTTTCATTTATTAATTTTTTATTAAATATTTTTATTTTTTACTTTACTTTTAGGGGCTTCGGGCAAATATTAGGGATCTAAACAGACCCCTGATATTTCCCTTTTTAAAATAGAAAAAGAGATTAAGAACACAAAGTCCTCAATCTCTTTTTCTGTGTCCCCTGTTATCAATGAACAGGAATCCTCTATGAGTTCCTGTTCATTGATAACATGAGAACATTGTTTGTTACTATAACTACAATTATGAATGAAGGGGGGTGATGTAGATCACTCCCCTTCATTCATAATTGAGGATATAGTTAACATACCATATCCTCAATTATGTACAAACACTCAGCGATCATGATCACTGAGTGTGTGTACCTTGCTCTTCTCTCTGACACGCTGTCATAGGAGGCTGATCGAGCGGTGTAGAGAGGAAAGCCCAGCCTCCTGTGACAGCGCTGTCTCCGCCCCCACACCAGAGCCGGACTGTGATAGGCGGCTGAGCAGTGTGGGAGGAGAGACGCCGACCGCTCACAGCGCTCTCGTCCTGCAGCGCTCGGCTGGCTGTCACTTTATTTTCTCCCCGCTGGAACAGCGGCCAGCGGGGAGAAAAGAAACCGGGGATGTATCGGCCGAAACATGGCTCTTTCGGCATTATGCCAAAAGTGCCATTTTCGGCCGATATGTATCGGCGGCCGATATATCGGTGCATCCCTAGTTTGAACCCATTGTGTTGTGCTCATACGGCATAGAACCTGAGGATTCCTGGGATAGTTTCTTCTTTTGAACATTGTTTTAGTTGTAACCTGTATGTTTCCATTGCAGATAAGCTCAGTAAAGCACTTCCGGATTCTGAGGAGCTAGCCAAACTTTTGCCAGACTTTGACAAGATAGGGGAAAGTTTTAGCTTTTTAAAAAGTTGGCTCTCATCAGGTAAGGGATCGTCATAAAATGATCATTCCTCTGTTAGAAAAGTTTTCTTCATTGATATACGGTATGTCAGATATCTGATGTCTTAAATAACACAATTCTGTTTCCAAAAATTAGCATGCACAGCCCAAATCTCCATAGTTGTAGTTGTAGATATTTATTAGCTGTGAAGAGGTAATAGTACTGTTTAAACTACTATGTTTGCATAGTTAGACTATTCCTAAAGCAATTGCTCTGATATGGTTATAGAGACTGGTATTATTTCAATTTGCATTTGTAGAATCATTGCTACTTTCAGATGAAAGATCTATAGAGAAATCCTGTGTGTGTGTGTGTGTGTGTGTGTGTGTGTGTGTGTGTGTATATATGT